TCACAGAACAGGGATAGGAAGAGGAAGGTGGGAAGACTTAGTGGTGCCCCAAATTTTGAGGTGCCCTACTCAGCTGCATAATCTGTATGAGTAAGGACAGCCTTGCCTGTACCACTTAGTTCAAAGTGGTTTCTATTAAATACCGGGTTTACAGTGTGGTCCAATGGCTCTCAGCACCCTCACTATAAAAAGAGTTTCTGCATCTCTGCTGTGGGTAGTCCAAGCTAGTAGTAGCTAGATATTCCCCTTCCTTTCAGAAACATATGAACATGTATACACATCAGAACATATGTAGTAGGTCCATGCTCTGGATGCTTTAGCATCATTAAAAATTCTTCATAGTGTACTGATCTACTACAGACACCCCACTTGCTCTCCTTGGGCCAGTCCTGATATGCTTGGACTCTTTGCTAACACCCGTCTTTTGGATGAGGGTTTGAATTTTCTAATCCCCCATCAATCTCTCTCACTTTTCCTTCCTTTCACTCACTCTTATCTGTCTACCAAATTCATTGCTGTCTTGTGTGTCTAATCTCATCTAAGACCCATATTCTCCATTCATTTTCCCAGTTTTACTTTCTTTCTTTGCAAATCTCTCATTTCCCTAAACATCCCTCCCTCTCTTGCCTCAAATATTATTCTACCATCCCCTCTTGAATGTTCCCCAAATGCCCATATCACAGAAATAAGACTGGAAAGTCCCTTGATGGGTCATTTAGCCCAGTCCCGTACACTGAAGTAGGACGATGTAGAGATCATTGGTGACATATATTTGTCTAAACTGTTCTTAAAAACCTCCCATGATTAACATTCCATAACCATTCTGGGCAATTTGGTTCAAAGCTTAACAGGATTTAGAAAGTTTTTGCTAATGTATAAGCTAAATCTTCCTATTGCAATTTAAAGCCTATAACTTCTTGTGCTGTACTCAGTGGGAGAGAACAATTTATCACTCCTCTTCATAACAGCCTTTTATGTACTTGAAGACTGTTATGTTACCAACTCCCCTTTGATCTTCTCTTCTTCAGACTAAACCAACCCAGAGTTTTCAATCTTTCTTTACAGGTTATGTTTTTTAAACCTCTAAACATATTTGCTTCTCTCCTCTGGACCTGCTCCAGTTTCTGCATATTTTTCCTGATGTGTGATGGACACAATACTCCACGTGAAGCCTTATCAGCTCCTCCTCAAGGTACATCTAATCCTCTTTACCCTCCTCTCAAAGGACACACTTGCCTCATATCTCCCCCATGGGCCTTGTTCTCCTCCCTATACAAATCATCCCCAGATCTACTAGCTTTTCCTCAATGAATATGTTCTTGTATATGTCCACTTCCCATTCTCAGGACCCTTCCCGAGGGTTCCTCCCATGCCACCTCTTCCTGTCCCCAGGATCCCTCACTGAGTCCCCTTGTACTTGTATCCTCCTACTCAATTCCCTTCAACAAGGTGTGTCTCTCACTTGCTATCTCCCCTCTATAGCAGGCTAAAAGTTTGAGGACAAAAAGATGATTTAGGGAGTTATATGTGATAGGTTTGCTCTGCTCCCCTCCTCTATTATAACCCTCAAGCCCATTTTTTGGGGAAGAATACTTTGGAGTTTGCAACATCACACAGCAAATTAAAAGTTAACCTACCAAGAGTGGTGACCAACAAGCAACGAGAACACACATGATCCCCAACAGCTGGATGAGTGTTTCCATGGTGATTCTGCCCCACTGTTTGCTGGCCTGAGAAGCTGAAGGTTTGGTTCTGCACCGAGATATTAAGGCTTTGATGGTGGCCAAGTTACACGCCATGGTGACGATCAGAGAGAAAAGTCCCAAAAAGGCAAAGGCGGAGGCGAAGAAGGTGTTGCCCTTGACATGGTTGTCCCCGGTGCTGATGAAACACCAGGTGCCTGGCCACTGCAGAGTATACTGCCCTATGCCAGCGATGGGCAGGAGAGCAAAGGCAAACACAGCCAGCCAGACGCTGAGCAAGACGGTCTTGGTCACCCTGCTTTTCATGTGGCTGGCGTACCAGTGCGGCGCTCGGATGGCCAGGGTCCTTTCGATGGCCATGGCGCTGGCTATGAAGAGGGGGCAGAGGCCGAAGACAGTCATGCATAAGCCAAAGAAAGAGCACAGGTTGCCCGAGGAATCCACCGCCGGCCAGTGCCTGTTGGCCAGGTACACCGCGATGACCACGGGGCTGGTGAGGAGCTGGCCGGTGAGGTCAGTCAGCGCCAGGGAGCCGATGCACAGCAGGAAGGACTTTTTCCGCGCGTTCTCCTTCTTCTGGCAGGCTCTGTACACCAGCAGCATGGCCAGGGCATTGCCCACCAGCCCCGTCAGCATCATGCTCAAGGGGAACGCCACCGAGACCGAGCCGCAGCCGTCCGCCGGACGCGCCGTGCTGT